GAACCGAAGGATTGTCGCGTAGGAAGACTGTTAAATTGTACGAAGAAGTCATCGGCTCACCGTCCTGCGATGAAATTCTGCTAGGCTTTCGTCCGTATCGTAACAGGCATCTTCAGAACAAGATATGGAATAGACTTAAGAAAAGGGAGAGGGTGTGTAGGAAGAGCTACTGAGCAAGAGGAGGCTGGATTAGCCTCGTGTCTAATAAGGAATATCATACTACCCATAACATCAGCATTGCATACACATAATAGACAAAAGCACAAGCCCAAACATGATTTAACATTAGGAGATCGTACGCTAAATTTTCTATTATGGAACAGCTGCCACATAACGCATTTACGATTCGGGAAGTTAACTTCACTCATTTGCAAACATGTAGAGTAAGGTTGAAGTAGCCAAGCAAATCAGGAGAGGCAGCATTAAGATCGCGATATTAGGTGTATATAAAAAAAGCGACTAGGGATGCAGCCGACCACCTTTTCTCTTGGTATGGTATATTTTTGCTGTATTTCGTAAAGTATGGAATCTTGCTCTGGTGATGTCCGTCACAGTACAGACGAAAGCTTAGCACAGTTTCATCGGGGTCGCAAGTAGGTGAGGCAAGGAGTTCTTCGCACAATTTAATAGTCTTCCTGTCGCGACAATCCTATGGTTTCCGGTGAGATCACATCACAATTTCCTTCCAACAAACTTTATATTCGAGATAGTCATGCCACAATATTTAATTAGAGAAGTCATCAAAACCCAGTTTTATTCATATCCTTGAAAGGCAAAATCAGTAATTCGAAAAGCAGATTAAGAATACAATAGTAAGAAATCCATGGAGTACTTGACCAAAATCATATTTGCAAGAAATGATGTTGAAGATAAAGGTAGAGAATCCTGAAATTGAGTCTTAATAATGTGGATTCAACCTGACCTTCATTCAGGCCCGCCTTGTACCTCGCTTGACACCTGGTCGCTGCTAGACATCAAAATCTGTGTTTGAATATATAAGAGCTTACAATTCCTATCCCCAATTACACCATATTTGAGGATTTAGAGCAGGTGGATGGGATGTAGAAGAGAACGAACGCCGCTAAGATGAGAACCTAAAGAAACGACTTTTTCGAAATAAATTGCACACTGGAATAAGCCGTAGCTTCTAGTCTAACCATACCTATAGAATGAAGATTGGAATACCCCTTGAAATCTGATACCAATTCGACGGTCTCCAAAGAAGTTGCAAAAACGACGTCAAAACCAACAAAAAATAAGAAAATTAAAATACAGCTTTAGATAATAAAATATCAGGATGACTATTTAAATGCCTTCTTTCAGAGAATCTTCAGACTCCTTTTGTAGACGAGTTTTTTTATAAGGCTTTGTGCTCTATTGATAGCGTTTCTATGAAAGAGACTTGCTGACCAATACACAATAAGTTATCAGAATAGAAGACTCACTACAAAGGCTCATGGATTCAATAATTTGAGGTGGCTGAACAAATTAGCATTACAGGACATCAGATAGTCGTCAAACACCCAACGTCTTGCTATATATGGAGACTTCGCGGAAGTTTAGGGAGATGATTAAAATTAGGAAAACAAATAAAATCCTGAATAGAAGGATAAATGTAGAATAATAAACAAGATCTATCTTTGGCTACTAAATAGAATTAAAGAGAGCAGGAGGAAGACTTAGTTAGCCTGGAATAGGCTTGAAATTGCCAACTGGCTCACGAGAATTGCATAAAAACAGCTCGCCGACATCCATAAGCCTAAAAGAAACATCAGGATTGCAGGATTTTATGCTAGTTTATTTGGATAAAAAAATCTGTGACCACATTCGATCCTTATTCATGTCCCAACTTCATTCATCTACAAGAATGTAGGATAGGCCTGAAGGGACGAAAACTCAGCAAAGAGTCATCGGAATCGCAGGACGATAAGCCGATGACTTAGTTGAACTAATCTAGTCACAGCTCCAAGGCCTTGGTTAGGGCCAAATTACGAATCCCTTTTTCTATCCTATTCAAATGAAATAGAATATACTCCAATATACCATCCTTATGTTAGTTTACAATAATTAAAGCAGCAAAATAGAAAAGTAAGCAAATAAACAGAAAATGGAAAACGAAAAATTTAATGTGCAACCAGAATGTTCTAATTCGATACGATCTAAAGTAAATTAAGCGAAAATATAGAAATAAAATTGAGAGAATTAGAGCTACATTAAGCCCTTATTTGGAAGTAATACTATTTCATAGCTAAAAAAATAAACAAATCAAATAAATTCAGATAGTATTAGTATCGATAAATAAAATAACAGCCGCATTAATGATGAATGCTAGAACAGCTATGATAAATCAATCATGATTATGCATATGTCCCATTAATCGTTAACTAACTCTTATTCAAGCTTGGAGTATTCTTGGATGACTTGCGTAATATCAATACAGAATAGGCGTAATTTACCTGGATATGTAACCAAGTATCGGTTTTATACAAGATTCATCGGAAGTATCAAGCCTAATCTGATCTTGAAATATTGATTTCTCTCATAATGAGCGCAGGATGAACGGATAGTAAGGTGTCTAGGTAATATAAGTCAGAGTTAGACATCAAACGAAATGGATTAAAGTGTTTAATGTACGCTGCTCCGTAATAGACCAATAGACAAATGCTAGTTGTAACGCAGAAAGCACAAGTCGTTATAGATAAGGCATAATTAGACCAGGAACTTGCATTAGTAACTTAAATAGTAAGGTATGAAGACCAAGATGGTGTGGCTTTTTGTGTGGTCGCAGTCTCCTTTCGTTATATAGAGGTTGTTTGACCTTGTTTTCGCAACATGGTCATATTGTTATAAAGACTTTGAGGAACGCACCTAGTCCGGAGTCCATTGTCTGCATGATCATTTCCAAGGTTGAACCGCGGTTGCTCGCAATATAAATATTTGAAATGATTGGTTCTAAAACCCCTTAATTCTCAAAATAGATATTGTTATGAAAAAAGATATTTAATATGCTTAAACCACCCATTTTTACGGTATAATAAAAAGCCCACGAAAATGCATAGAAAAATCCATGTCATATATAATCAAAATAAGAAAAAAAATCAAATAAAGATTGGCTAAAAAATACAAAATATAAAATGCAGCAAATTCAATGAGAAATAAGCTGCTGATGGATGATGTCGATATGGTAGTTATATTTCTAAATAGACGGGAAGCAAAATAGGTAATAGTATTCTAAAAATGAAAAGTAGTATAAATAGAATAGTGGAAAAACATGTAAAATTGGCAAGCAAAGGAAAATGGTGTGGATATGAATAAAAGAGTATTTCCTTAATGGCAAAATGATGGTAGGTTTATAGTATTCAAAATGCCAAAAATTTAAATTCGTTTGAGACTGTGACGGAATAAGTAAGTAGCAATAAATGCAACAAGTAGATTAATATGACTTACTGGAATGAATTGCCTGATTAACAAGATAATCTTGTAGTCGTGATGTCTAGATACGACCAAAAGCTGTGCCAAGTCAATATTAGCTTGACGCCAACTACGTCGACCCTGAAGTACCGTAGGGGGATGCTCGAGCATGGAGGACTTCAGCGTTTTTGTCCGAAGCGCGTCGACTGAGTCAAGCTGGTTATTACGTCGTTGTCTCTGATGTCTCTGATTCCGTCGCCGAAGCACTGACCGAGCTGGAGAAGAAATTAAAGGTTCCAATTTCTCAACGCCGGGATGGGCAGATTCAAGAGAACGTTGCAGTGAAGGCACTGTTGGTGAAGGCTTCAAGTCAGAATGACTATTATTTTCCTGGAAAGATCGGTCAAACACTGGACTAAAGATATCTTGTTGTTCAA